TTGTACCAGGTGGAGCCTAGAAACATGAAATAAAACATATATATATATATATATATATATATATATAAAATAATAATATATACAATTAATGTAATACAACTAACTGAACTAATAAAAATATGTAGTAGACAATGGCAATTCATGACAGTAGCTAGGTAAACATTGATGATATTATTTATTGTTTTAGAATGTCCCTACAGAGGCTCCATATTGTGGTATACAGGAGTTCTGAACATAAAAGGCACTGTGACATGGCACAAAAAAACCCCTTTCAGTCTTAACAAGAGTAAACAGCACACTCACACCCTCTGCTGAGCTACCTGACTAACTACAGATAGAACTTATTTCATGTGTTTTCCCTTCTCTGCTTCATGGTAAAGTTCCTTGTTGCTACAGTGTGCTGTACAGTGTTGGTCTAACTTATCTTTGTCATCAAAGTTCAACCTTCCGTGTCTTATTTCTAATGCTTGACATCCTCACTCTGCTTCTATCACACCCTCTGCTCAACTTCTCCACTCCACTTCTCCACTCCACTTCGCCACTCCCCTGGAGATAAAGGTGGTGAATTCAATAAAAAGAACACACTTCTTTCGCCTCTCCGCGCACACAAAAACACACGTCCACAGGTTACCTGTGGCAAAGGCCATGCCCAAGCATGTGGTGAACCCTGTGATGGCAAGAATGTCGTCAAAGCTGCCTGCAGCCATCAGCAGGGTGGGGATGCCCTGCTCCACGCCGTAACCGTCCTTCTGCAGCAGCAGCATGGAGGGAACCACCACTGCCGGAGAGACAGCGCCCAGCACGAAGCTACGATGTGGAGGAGATGGATCGTTTGTTAATTTGTGTAGAGAGACTTTGGAAAGTATCAGCCTTTAAATACACCTAGAAAGATGCAAGAGCAGGATATATTCTTCATACTATAGCTGAGATGTGATACACAGACTAAATTTTTTAAAATGCGAATCATTAAAATTCTGCTACCAGTCAGAAAATCCCTACATTGCATTATGCCGACAGCGATCTTCAGGTGCAAACATTGACATTTGACTTGAGCAGTACAAAAATATTTGTATTGGCCCCCATCCACCCTTCAGCCACTGATAAGCAACACACTCAGAGGGGAAACAGGCCATGAAGCGTGATATCTCAAGTTCTATTTCAACTACTGACAGCACACGAGTTCTGACCAGGCAGAAATATAAAGGCGCTTGTTTTGGAGTCCATCGACCCATCGACCATAGACTCAACTTGAGGTAAATAGTCAAACTTGTCAGACAAGAAGCTGCAATGTGATCTAGTGACTCTCGCTGAGCAGTGCATTTTCCATTCTCTACTTCATGGGAACAGGTTCCTTGCAGGTACTCTTACTCTGCTTATATCTGCTGCAGAGGAGTAAACGGCTCCTCTAGCACAGTCTCTTCACACAGCTTATAATGGAAGTACGTTGTGAATCAATAATCACTGATTGTCTGTGAGAAGAATAAAAAAAATAGGAAAAATAGACCCTGTGAAGTCAAAATCAGTGTGCGCTTTAAACCATCCCCAATTAAATAAAGGCTTTTTAAAAAAGTTGGAATTTAAATGGTAAATATATGTGATTCCTCAATATGTTCTTCAAAGGAACTGTGTCTGTCTATCTGTCTGACATACATACATATATAAAGGTAATATAGAGCTTGCTAGTAGAAAACAGAGAGTGGAGACAGAGAGGGAGAGTAAGTAGTGTTCTATTTACCCAAGGATGAAGCCCCACACCCAGGGCAAGCCCATGAGGAAGTGAGAGACCAGAGCTGTGGTGCAAGCCTCTATGATGCAGGGCCCAGCTGCTACACGCAGACACACAGATTTTAGTTTCTTCAGGGCCTGAAAACACGGACACATACATCATTCAAGAGTTTTAGCAGTAATTAGCTGACTTTTATACAGAGAGAGAGAGAGAGAGGATTAATCAGTGGAGTGATGTTTAGAAGTACTGTGTGATTTGTTGATTAACTGTCTGAAACATCTGAAAATGTATGGAGAAAATGGCTTGCTGCAAACCAATTGCATACATTTTTAAAGCAAGAATTAATTGGTTATGTCTTCTCCAAGGCTCAGATTTGCTTGCCTTTCCTCATATTATATCATTGGAAATGTACTACTTTTTAATCAAAAATCCTGAGAATAGTTTCAGTCCTAGTCGAGGCGAGTCATAAGCACAGAGATGAGACTAGTGTGTCATTATTATATCTCTCTAAACATTTCTGTTGCAGATACTAAGCTTCAGTAGTGGAATATGTGTATGTGGCATACCATGGGATCCAACCCCAGACCTGCTCTGGCCAGAATGACAGCCAGAGCGATGTTCCTCAGTGATGCTGACCATCTGAAGTCAATGTACACCCCATCTGTTACCACTGGGATGTTCCTCAGCAGGAAACCCATCAGCAGCATACCTGCAACACAGCAGAGGGTGTGAGAGAGGAAAGATGATCCTTCAGGACACAGAACCAAAAAGGATCGCCTGTTGCTTTTTGAACTTAGAGTGCTCGTGTTGGACACCCGAGACACTGAGACCCACTGTGGGGACTTCGTCTTATAGCATCAATAAAATCAAGTTTCAACAAGGTCCAAACCTTCTCTACAAAGTGATTTGGCAATGAGAATATTTCACTATAATGTTACATTGCATTATTAAGAATTGTGGAAATTAAATTTAAGCTCTTTATGATTATGGCTATGGATGTGTTCTCAACAAGGGAAATGATACATAACGGGAACATTTTAAAAACTGTTAATGAGTGGGGACTGAGGACTTATAGTGTTATATCCTCATACAGGAATCCTCTTGGCAGTTGGTGTCAAGAATGTTTCAAAATACAGAAAACTGATAAACAAGAATATACTTCTGAGGAAAAAAACAGGAAAATGAAGTAAAAAGAGAAACAAACTCAAAGATCCCCTCCTATATCTGACTTGAACTTCAATCTACCTTCTGATGTTATTTACACATAAGGAGTGGCTCCAGCTTCCTTGATTTTTATCTTGTTAGGGGAGCAGCTGGTGGCTTATGATTTCCATTTTTTAGATTCATATTCACCTTATATTTCATTTAAACCACAATTGTAAATGACATTTACACTATCTTCTTATCAATGTTATGACTTTTTCAAGCCCTAACGCATTAGATGGCATTAACACTTAACCAGAGCCTGATCAAGTCACATCTCTTGTATTTCACGATGAGTGGCATCATATTCCTTAAATAAAAAAGCTGTATTACCCAAACATTTTTCGATCACAGCAGAATCATCGCCATGCAATACCAAGAAAGCAGGGCTATCTTGTGTAGGCCAACAATAAAACCAATAGAAGCGAAACACAAAATAAAGTACCAACAGAACCCAGTGCATCAGCAGCTTATGTGTACTTGACTAAGAATGGAAAAAGTGAGTAACATGATTGTACAGTTAATCATGAACTCTCCTTTTAACCCCAAGTCCTTATATCAATGACAAAGGTGAAATGAATGAGTCAGCAGATTCCTTTGTAATACATCATAAAATGAATACGTCCATGGCTTTAAGATGTATGACACTCATTAGGCTGTGGAGAATATTTTGCATTATTTCTGTTACAGCATTACTATTTCCTTGGCCAATTTATAATAATAATTATTATTATTATTATTATTATTATTATTATTATTAATGAATTATTATTAATTTATCTGCAAATACAATTCTTTGTGCTGTATACACAGAGTACTCCTTGTCCGACTGCTACCCGTTTGTATGTATTTATTGTAATTTTTCAACCTGCTTGTGATAACCTCTTACAAATACTCACACTGGAAAATGATGTATTGTGTTGCTAAATATATCACCCTGGCCAAGGCATCTGTGTAACTAAATATGAACTAAAGGCTTGTATAAACACACCTGTGCATGAAACATAACCACTAAATCCCCAGACTTACCAAGGAGTGGTGGGAACGGTGGAAGTTTGGGCAGACGGATGAAAGACACTAATTTGCCACCGATGAGTGCACAGATGAAGAGGATCGTGATGCCAAACAGGTTGCCCCCTGGAAGACATTCTTTCTCCGTGATGGACCACACCACTCCAAAGAGCACAGCTGCCAATAGGACTAGAAAGGGCAGAGGAGACAGATATTACATTGTGATGTCAATGAGAACAATAATGTGATCGGGTTTTTAAAGGCATTAAGAATGAGTGGGTAATAAGCAGATTATTACATGTATTTTTGTTGTGTTACAATTTCTAACCTCTCAAACTTCCTCACTGATGATTCACTTCACTGTCTGTGAGTGCATTTCATAATGTGAACATACATTAAAGTATTTGTGTATATAAGTACGTATGTATCTACAGCATTGCTGTATTTCTCAGATACTTCAAGGTATACATGATACTCATGTCATCTGAAGTTTTTCCACAGTCTTGTGTGAAAGACATGCAACACATTTCCTGGGTAAAGCCAGCTTGAACCAACTTAAGTCCCCCCCTCCCTTACCTTTAGTAATGAGAGAGGCCAGGAAACCTCTTGGTGGACATGGGCAAAATCTGTGGAGCAAAGGGCAGCAGACCACTGGCGGGTCTGTGTTGGTGCCAGCATCCACCACAGGGTTTCGTGGAATAAAATAGGTGGTCTCCTCTGTGACATTGGGACTGGAACAGCGCCGTACCACCACTTGGATCTGGTTCACACTTAGGTGCTGGAGAAGGAGGAACAGAATGTGCACAAGAACAGGTCAGTGATCACATTTGCCTGGCGGACATAGTAGTTTCTGTTAGATGCCTTAGCATCACAAGAGCCGTAAAGCCAATGCATGATGAAGGTTTTTTGGTATGTTGTAATATCTTTATGTCTTAAAATGTACTGTTGACTGCAATGTCCAATACAGTACATATATTTATTAATATCCAGGCCTTACACAGAACACCAGATCACAAGTGTCACACTGACACATGTATGAATGCATTGGTTATAGAAAGATTAGAAACTGGTCGATAGATGTCCCTGAAGCCTCTTTAATTTCCAAACCCTTATTAAGTGTCGTGCCCTATCAGTACTGTTGACACAGAGGTGCGTCATACCAGCAGATTACAGACTACAGTTTCTTACAAACAATAGAGTGAAGATATGAACTGGGCCCTGGAAGCTGATAACTGCGACTCCCAGAACACCTTCTATGTCATATTGCTCAGGTGGGTACATTGGCACAAAGTTTTGACTTTGCTTCTGCATTTTTAATTCATTCACATTAGAATTCCAGCAAATTGTCGTAAGGCGAACAATTATTTTAAAAGGTTATTGAATTGTATATTAAAACATAGAGACAAAGAAGCAGAGGAACATGACAGTTTATATGTATCTTAAAATTCAATGTCTTAATTAGAGAATATAAAAAAACACAGCCATTTGAGAAACTTTTTTTCCTTTAAAGAAAAACAATATTCGTTACCAAACAGCCTTTTCAGTTTTGCCAAGGCAGTGACACCTGAAATATAACTATGTTAGACCAAGAGATTCTTAATAGCAAAATACTATACCTCCACATGGTTTGCTGCAGGCAAAACAATTCTGTCCAGCAGCGGGCTGGGTGCTGGACTGGGTGCTGGACTGGGTGCAGGGCTCGGCTCCGGGGTAACAGGTTTGGGCTGGGTGTCCTCCATGGCAATTGGCTACAGTATTTCTGCTCCACTCACTTCTCTATCACAGCACATCAAGCCGAGGGGTGGGGTTGATAGCCATTGATGGGCAGTTCCTTCACTTCTGCTTCTGTATGTCCACCTCTGACCGCAGGCTCCTATTCATACAGCACGGTTTTATCGGAAGAGAAACAAATTATTATTTACTTAATAATGGAGAACAGTGATGTTGGCACAGGTGTGGAAATTGGCATGCAATGATACGTTTAATCTTACACACTGCTTTTTTGTTTAGTTTAACAGATACTGTACTGGGTCTGACCAGGAGGGGGTGAATGAGGAAAAAGGAACACATGATTTCTGTGTACATGAGGAACTATGAGGCTCACACTGTATGTATGTAGCTATATGATGGCATGCCAACATGGCGCACTACTGGACTACAAAGTAATCCTGCTGTAACGCATTACAACGGGTTAATACTATACTCTTAATAACTTTAGCTGTTAGTTCAAGCTATATTACACATAAAAAGTTGACATGTAACTCATTTACATTAACTTAACGCTACTACAATGTTTTGACAGTTGCTCATGGCAACAGACGTTGGTTAATCCAATTGTGAGGGAGCACACTAATCAATGCTTACAGCTCCGCCATATGGCACAGCTAGTTAGCGTCAGCTCGAGTACGTTACGTCGAGTGCTAGGGCAAGTAGGTTAGACTTAACTTAGCGACTGCCAACAAATAACCCTAAGTGGTGGCATCGGTAGCCGCCGAGCTAGCCAGCTAAGCAAGCCAATGTGTTTTGACGTTTGGCTGCCTCGGGGTCTGGTCACCGTGCACACAAGTGTAGGGACAGAGGCAGCTGAAAACCTACTGCTACAGTAATTAGCTGCTAGTGAGGAGGCAAATCCACGCCTCACGATAAACCACAACGGTGGACCCATTATCGGACAAAGACATGCCTTCTCACTAGAGGTAACGCTTGAAACAACGTGACGTTATTTCCTCGATTTCGCATCGGTTAAACTGCTAAACCCTGTTAATTAACGTTAACTGGGAACCGCTTTAAAGAGGGTCATGTTGAATAACGTCAGGTTAGATAACGCCAACGTAAAAACTCGGTCGTCACGGGCTGACTTAGCGTTACACTGTTGTACTGCTAAAAATGAAACCGTAACCTACAGTCTGGTTTCGATGAATAAAGCAAAGCTCAATTTCACTCTCTACTCTGATACCTTTGGGTAAAATCATCAAATTTCGCCGAGAGAGGGAATTGTCGTTGTCCGATATTGGATTCATTGCCAGTAGCTGTGTGCGCCCTACCAACAGCTGTCAGTGAACTCAGCACGGTGGCGTGCTACACACACACAGAGAGAGAGAGAGAGAGAGAGAGAGACCACTCCTGACCCCATTTTATCAGGTTCCTTAAACATATAACAGTCATTAAAGAAAAAGCAGCTCACCTCATATCGTAAACATTGTCATCGCTTGTCAGTGGCAGAGTTTCTGGCAGTGCTGTGGCAGATAGAGCAGCTGGGGAATGGGAATCAGGCGGATTAGTGATGGCCAAGCATGTATCTACCGCGCACAGGAGTGCTTGGTTGGGGGGAAGTTAGGTTAAATGGAAAAGTCACTCAAGGGTATTCGTGAAGACGTTTTTAATGGATGTTTAAACATATTTCTTTATTAATCACAGTCAAAATTTGACAGAGTGCTTTGTGAAACTAACAAATGATGTATTTATTAAGTTTATAACACCAGTATACACCTCTACTTGTTGTATAGTCAATTTATTAAAATGTCAGTCTACATATTATTTTGGCATGTACACATTTAAGGCATAGATTTTTAGGTTAGAAAATGCCTCCCATGGAATCAGTAAACATAATATGCAAAATCAAAACAAAATGATCAAGTCACTTTATTTGGGGTTTGAATGAGAATAGAAGCGACTGCCTCCACTGCTGCCACCGTGAACTCGCTACAGTTTTCTCAGAGTCTCCATCCTCCATCGATGATTTGCTCTGTCCCAGTCACATAGGCCGACTGTGAAGGAGAGGAAACATCAGATCACTAATCAATCAAGTCAAATCAAATCATCTGTTTGCATGTATAACTATGGAATATTTAATGTTTACATTGGAGTTAAGCATACATATGTTGGGACGTAGCCAGGTTTTTAGAAACACTGATGCCACATATATGCATGACATGGATCAGTTAATCTGCGAGCGCTCACCTCATCTGAGGCCAAGTATACGCACAGGTACGCCACCTCTTCAGCTGTGCACATTCTGCCAGTTTTCTGTCTTGCCATGAAATCCTTATAAGCCTGAGGAGAAACATAAAAAGAGGAGTTACAGTTGTAGCAGTTATTATCTTCAACACCCGGCCAGAAGGATTTCTTCTTGTGGAAACAAAGATAAGATGTACCTGTTAAATGACTCATGCAGGCATTACTGTCAGATTAAGAATGGAGAAAATGACAGAGTAAATCTGAGTCAACCATATCTACCTGTTCTGGGTCAGGCTGGGCCTGGATCCTTCCCCTCAGTGATGGAGTATCAACAGTGCCTGAGAAAATATAAAAGAACAGGATTTTCTTCTGAAACCCAACACTGAATACGTAAATATAGATAGCCTTTGGCTAATTGGCTGACTTTGATAACCAAATCGGTATGCTTTGATTCAGTTCAGGTCTGCTGTGCAGATGAAAGCCTGACGAGTTTGAAGGGACAAGGCTTGTGTATCTTTGAAAAACACGAATATGAAAGGCCCTGCAGTCTTTCTAAAAAACATCAATTTAATTTGTTTTCAAGGATATCTACAGTAATATAGTTCTCTATTAAAAGGCAAGTAACCTTGAATAATGCTTGAGGAAAGATAAAAAGGACACTTTTATTTTGAAAGGAGTACTAAACTTACCAGGACAAACACAATTGCAGCGAATGCCTTTGTCAATGAAATCAGCCGCTATAGATTTGGTGAGCCCAATCACGGCAGCCTTGGAGGTACTATAGACACACCGGTTCACAACGCCTGTGTTCGAGGAAACACATAGGTCACTCACACAGACACACACACGCACAAAGCAATTATCTGAGATAAGAGGATTACAATGAACATGGTCATACTTCAACGACTTAATGTCCCTTTAATTGGGGATAATATTTGTTCTACAGTCATCTACAGTGAAAAGATCTGTGGAAGATCATTTACCTTTTATGCTTGATGCAACAGATGCCATGTTAATAATGTTTCCTGATTTCTTTGCCAACATCTAGAACAACAACACGAATTAGGAGGGTGGCATATAAACAGAATATAACTGGCAAACATTAAGAGTAAAATTACCATTAATAGTCAACAAATCAATGACAAACGTGGTGAGATCCAAGCAAAAATTCTCCGTTGAGACGGTTTGGTTAGTTTAAAGCTGGATTAGCGATTGGGCAGTCACCTCCCATCATGCCACAGGCTCAGAGTAATACAGCTAATCCCAGCGACAAAGGATGAAAACAAAATAAAAGCATATGTCGCTGAATTTACAACAGCACCGATTTCATTCTCTCAACAACAGGATAAACGGTGTTAAGCATTAGGTAAAGAGGCCAAAGGTCACCTTAGGCAGGAAAGCCTTGCACATGAGGTACATGCTCCGGACGTTCACGTTCATTGTGAAGTCCCAGTCGGCCTCTTCGCAGTCCAAGATGGAGCCGTGGTGCACAAACCTGCAGACGGTAGATGACATGTAAACTTTGAAAGTAGCAAAAATAGTGTCACGCGATTAGATGTAATCACCTAAACATACGGCTTTAGCCAAGAGGTAAAATACCTCATACGTCAATCAGAATCAAACCAGAAGAGATAAATATGCGATAAAAGTTATTAAACTACACCTAAATGCTGCGTGAACCCCCTCAACATTTTACAGACCTTTGTTAAGGAGATTGACGAAAGGTCAAGGAGAGGTTAAATCTTAAGGTATAGGGATTTTGGAAATGTAGTTAAGCAGGACCACCTGGGCACCCTGGTGGTCGTAATGTTATGCACCCCTACACACAACAAACTGTGCTGCACTGTCAGTTCTGACACCTTTCTATCAGAACCAGCATAAACCTTTTCAGCAGTTTGAGCTACAGTAGCTCGTCTGTTGGATCCGGACCACACGGGCCAAGGCCTTACCACTCCCCACATGCATCAATGAACGTTGCCCCCCCATGATGCTGGCACCGGTTCACCGCTTTTCCTTCCTTGGACCACTGCAGACCGGGGACACCCCACAAGAGCTGCAGTCTTGGAGATGCTCTGACCCAGTCGTCTAGCCATCACAATTTGGCGCTTATCAAAGTCGCTTAAATCCTCTACGCTGCCTCATTTTTTTCCTGCTTCTACACACATCACATTTGAGGGACAAAAATGTTCTCAGCTGCTGCCTGATATTAATCCCACCCACTTGCACCAGCGCGCCATGAAAATGAGATATATGTATCCTACTGAAAACAATTCTTTTACAAAGCTGTGACCAAATATGAAGATGTAATTTTCTAAAAACAGCTGAGAACTGTAATTTTTTTTATACGCTTATTTTTTTTTTTGGGGGTGGTCCTTTTATTGGCCTTTAATGAAGTGAGCAGCCAAAGACAGACAGGAAAGGGTTCAATAGACAGGAAAGGGGGGCAGAGAGAGGGGATGACACGCAGCAAAGGGCCACAGGTCAGATTGGAACCCTGGGCCACTGCAGCAAGGACTCAGCTTCAGTACATGGGACGCCAGAACTACTGACTGAGCTAACCGGGCCCCCCAGAACTGTAGCTTTTAACAAATATTTGACTCAGAACCTAAATATTTCATGCTGATGAATATTCATGGCATCACAATGCTTTATGTGGGATCGACTCAAAAACTACAGTGTCGATTATAATGAAGAAACATGTCACCAATTAAAACTTTGGTTTATTCATTCGTGAGATTTTCCTCATTGTAAAAGAATTGAAATTTTAACAGACGCTACTGAAAAGAGCAAAAAAAAAAAACTCACCCAGCAACATTGAACAGCACATCTACATGCTCATGTTCCTTGGCCAGGGCTTCGACTTGGTCCTTCTTAGTTACATCCACGACCTTGGTCTTGATCCCTGTTGGTGAAAAGAAAAACAGAGCTTTGATTGTGGAGAAAAAGACCCAATTACTTTAATGACAGACTTGGAAAACAGAAAATGAGGATGAAAACACCCTGCTTCACATCTGCACAATTCTGCTCTACATAAGGCAGTTAGAGGAGAAGACCATTGCTTGTGAGCTACAGGGGCAATAAGCCTGAGTAGGTTACTAAGCCGTAATTTGCTTGTATAGTGTAACTAAAATAGGAAAAGCAACACTCTATAGCCTTTGCATTCAAAATATGTCCTATATCAGTGGTTCCCAACCTTTTTCCTTAAAGGAGCCCTTTTTTATCATTGAGGACGACCCAAAGAGTGAACACAATAACTGCAGGAAGTTTATGTAAAACGAGCGATTTGGAAGTATTTTGAGCAGATTATTTCCTGTGAATGTCATATCGGGGTTTTACTGATATTTTTAGGAATTTCCAATACAATTTTCTGCCTGTATTATGTATGTATAAAGTTTTTAACAATCGTACATAATTAACAGGCTTCCTTTTTGACGAATTCAGTGTTTTTTTCTCCTTGATGCTAGGCGTTTTTTTTTAATTAGCTGTTTGCTTTAACTGCACTTTCTAATGAAAGACAAGTTTTATCTAAATAATAATCTAAACTTTTAAAATAACAATTTATTTAGTTTTCTTCACAGAAATGAACAAAATGCTGTGATATAGGGCCATTGTGTATACATTTTCTTACACCCCTTAAAATCAAGGCCTTGTGACCCCCTGCGAAGCTTTGCCGACCCCTAGTGGGGGTCCCGAACCCCAGGTTTGTGAACCACTGTTATATATTATCTTTAAGTAACGCTGTTATCTCTGCTAAACAAAAATCTTGCAAAAATGTATCTTGATAAAAAAAAATTGAATGTGTAAATATAATGGAAATATACTATTTTGATAATCTATTCATTGATCAAGTCAGTTTCCAGCTTCTCAAACATAATATTTGCTGTCTTGTATAATAGCAAACTGAATATGTTGGGATTTAGAATGTTGGTCAGACAAAACAAGACATTTGAAGACCTTAGATTCTTAGGATCAGGGAAACTATATATATATATAGAAACTATATATATATATAGATTAATCATATTACCATACGACTAATCAAGAAAATAATGTGCAATTTACTGACTATGAAAATAATTGGCAGTGCATTGTTAGGATAAACTAATTTTATCAAATTTCTCT